TTTCATTGTCAGTATCACAAATAAATTGACAAGCAAAGAAAAGATGTTGTACAGTTTCATTATTAGTATCACAAAAACAACACGCTCGGTCAATCTCCAAATACGTGAGCTTGTCCTTAGTAAGGAGTTTGTCCTTGGCTCCAAGCCATAGGATAAAAGCATGTGTCGGAGTGATGAAAGCATTCCAAACAGTTTTAGCCCATACAACTTTCGGCCCCTTTAGCCCATAGTAATTTACTTCATTCTACATGTCATGGACATGGACAACTGAGCAATGTTATCTAAATTTGTCCTTGCCAAGTAATTTTAAATGCCATGCGAAATAAATGTTTAATAAGTGACAAGTTTAAAAAAAAAACCAAAAACATTGGAATATGTGTCGACACATAATTGAACAATTTGAAAAAAAAAATTAATAATAACACTCAAATCAATTGTTGTCATCCCACCCTGTCATCCAATTTCCTGTCAATCATTGTGGCCAAGTAGCATTATTCTTTTACTAGTTACACTGAATGACCTAAAGAGTGAAGATCATGTGCTTGTTCATACATGTGTAAATTGACAAAATTATCAAATTTTCTTTATTTATATTTTATTTGTTTATTGACTCTTTAGAAGTCCTTCTATTGCTGCAGGAACAAGAAGCAAATAGATGGGTCTCGTTTGCTCTTATCATTTCTAGGTAAGAGACATGAAGGTCGCGGAAGAAATTTACCAACATTGATTCTTTCAATTATTTTATTGTTGGGAAGAGGATGAATAAGGTATCACATTGTCATTTATTAACCTAAGATGACAGAAATCATGCATTGACTTAGGTGTAAGAGGTTTTAATGAATTTTTAAAGTGCTTTCAATTGAGATTTTAATAAATTTTATTAAAATTTGGATGTGAGATTTTATCCTTAATAGCTCTTGGAGTTATAAATATTTCATAAATTAAGGGATATCAAAAGATTTAGCCCATGTTTGAGCCTCATTCTTTCTCCTTTTTTCCCATTCATTTTTTTATGATACTCATTTTCAACCACATATTCTCCAAATGAAATAATATTACACACACAAATCTCATCACTTTTCCACCATACATTTTCCCATCAATCACTATTCAAAAACTAATTCTTCCTGAAAAATGGGGGCCAAACACCCACTTAGATAGATTTCAAGATTAAAAAAATTCATTAGAACTACAATCTTTTAAAACTCATCAAAATCTCAATTGAGGATACTCTCGTTAAAGTCTGAAATGGACTTCAATCTCACAAATGACGCAATACAAGAGATAATTGAGTAGGACCCTTCAAGACAAAACAAACATAATAACGAAAACTTATTTAGGGTGTATTTGATGGATATTATTGAGGAAAAGAATTTATTTTAAATAGTGATATGATGAGAAATATGTTGTTAAAAAGTAAAAAAAAAAAGTTATTGATGTGAAGGAAAATATTATTTTATTGAAAAATATGTGGTTAAAAATGAATTTTGAAAAAATGTGTACCAAATAGGGCGTAATACAATTTTGAGCATTTCTTCTTTCTAGTACTAGCTTTGGCCCGTGCGATCCACGTATTCTGTTATTTTTAAGATAATGTTAGCGTAAAATGTGAAGGACTAAAGGGAGATATGTGCATTGTACCTTTAAACAAAAGTTACTATGATGAAACACTATCTTATTTTTCAA